AAAGTGTAGCATCGCAAAGCTAATGCCAAGTATTTCAAGTAGGTGAATGGCAGATGCTTAAACACTTAGCTTCTTAGTCCAGGAGAAATAACTCAATGAAAACACAATTATGGGAGGTTAACCCTAGTTTGCTAATTAGCAGATTAGTTTAGATAACTAGCAGACTACTCAGGTAGTTGATAACAAACTCAAAGGGTTCGCATAGAAAAGCTAATGCTGACTGTTTCATGCAAGTGAATGGAAAATGCTAAAACTAATTAGCGCCATATTCTGGGAGGTATAGTTAAATAAAAACACAGAGTTGGGTGGTCTAACCAAGTTTGCTAGTTAGTCTAGTTAGCTTTCTTCCTGAGTGGGGTCCATTTCATAGATTTGGTGGTTTATTCTATGGCCACAAAAAGTTTTAGTGCAAGTGATTAAAATGAAAACAAAATGGTGACGTTACTTGAGCGAAAATGGAGCTGTCAATTAAGCGTGATCTGATCACGCCCACACAAACCTGACAAATGCTGTTCTTGAGCTAGGTCTTCTAATAGTTCTGAACATGTATTTTCACTGATGCTTAACGAGACACTCATCCTTGATACCATATTCGCATTTTAACTACTTCAAGACAAGTTTCCAGTAGCTTTAAAGAAAAGATCTCAAACATGTTGTGTATGTCGTCAGTTTGTATTTCTCAGAAGGAAAGAAAATCAGGATCAGCCAAAATCGGAATCGACTAAGAAAGTTGCAGTCTGTGCATCTCTAATCTATACTTCAATCACATCTGTCCAGTTAGCTTAGCATAGCATAAAGACTGGAAATGGGCAGTAACAGCTAGCCTGCCCATCAGCACCTCTGAAGCTCATTAACATCTGTGGAATCTGGTGTACAAACGACAAACTGTTTACCCTGCTCAAGTCCTTATGCTAAGATAAGCTAACTGGCTGCAGGCTACAACAGTTAGCCTCGTATTTGACAAACAGCTCGTCTCATCTTACTCTCCACCAGACAACAAAGAAACATGTTGAGCTATTCTCTTTAACATGTCGCCAGTTCTGGCTTTGAGACAGAAGTACTAAATATTTCCCGCTATTCATGTCACCCTCCTGTATAGAACTTTCTCAGCTCAGACAGAAACGTCACTTTACAGTGTCACCATATTGGTTCCACTTTGTTTTTTGTCTTTTTTTTTTTTTTTTTTACCATTGCTTGATGAATGTTTTCTTTGCCAAATAGGTACGATGTCTGCTGCTTTACAGCATAATTTGCAGGGTGCGCAGTGTGAATGGTTGCTAAAGGGATGCAGTCTGGTACACCCATATCCACTCTGCATGGTACTTTAGTAGAGTCGATCCATTCGAAGCCCTTCCCATCGTGTATTATAAATACAGATCCTTTATTTGACCAGATTTAATTCCTGTAATCTGAACAAAAGGTCAACCTAAAAAGATCCCTTTAAAAAATATTGAGATAAGCTAAGGTATTTTTCCCCCAAATAAGGTTCTAAGTGTGAGGATGCTTTTATGAAACTCTCACAAGTCCACGGTTCCTGTATATTTATTGAATATATTATTAAAAAATGTTTTTTTTAAAAACTGATAATGACACATTCAATAAAATGAGAAGACAGTGTAGTTTATTATTCCTTATCTTAAAGAGGTCCCGTTAGCTTATTTCATTGCCTGGGAAAACTAGCTTGTGCCACTGAATGCTTAGGGCGGTTTTAACTGACCTTAGAGCAGCACTCAGGCAGGCAAATGTGTTTTATAGACGTCAAGACGACCTGGGTCTTAAAAAGGTCGAAATGTAACAGATGGTCATAAACGGAGCTTCTGCAACAGTCAGTGGACAGGCAGTAAAGCGTCTTTGAAGCCAAACCTACCTGCTCCAGCTGTCTGCTGCTGCTCCTCTGGCCCCTCCAGTTAAAATATAAAAATATTTGATTGGGCATGTTTAGCTAAAATGGATTAAACAAAGAGCCAGATTCTGCATTACACTGGCGCAAAATGGCTGTACAGCTAAAACAAATCCAAATTTACACTGCTGCACCAGACTTGAAAAACCAGCCTGTCTTCTCACCTCGTCACACCTGAACACTTTTATTGGAGCTCCAGGGGCTTCATAATTACCTGGCTGACTAAACCTGTCCTGGGGCGTAAATAGGGTCAGCTGGTATTCTTTCTGTAAGTCAAAGCCTCCCTCCTCAAGGGTCTGTGGCACAGCTGGTTTTCCGTGGCCCAGAGCAGGATAAATGTCCCTGGGAGGCCGCAGTCACTCTGCTAGGAGTTTTGAAACTATTTGCTCCTGGGTCTGATCCACTACTGTGGGCGAGGCTCCAGCCACCTGCAACGCTGCTTGCGCTGTGCCAGACTGATGACTGATGACAGCGTCAAACATACCATTGAAGGCCAGATTAATGGAAATAAAAACTCTCAACATTGTTAAAACATTATCTGTCTTATGGCCTCGTTCTTTTCTTCATCTTTACAAAACACATTCCTGCACTTTAACTGTTCGATAAGGTCGTAAATGAAGATGGTGAATCAGAGATATATTCAAAAATACTGTTCCACCTTTTGTGTTTATTTTCAAGTTGAAAATATTGATACCACTGTCATGTTCGTGTGGTGAGAATCAAGTTACAGCTAGGTAGCTTAGCATAGTGCTAGGTGAATGATCAAATTTTATTTTCAGTTCTGATTTTGGCTTCCAACAATTATGAAAACAAAATGAGTGAGATAAAACAATCATTCACTGTGTTTCTCAAAGATGCTCTTGTTTTGTCTGGTGTTGTAAATCCAGCACACTCCTTTATTTACGGCGGTGCTCTGTGTTGCCAACTTGTCTACATTCCCATGAGATTTAGCGACTTCTCAGACCCTATTTATGATTTTTTTTATCATGACACTTTCCCAAAGTCCTATGTTCCCCAGTACTACATTTGTGCTTTCACGGGGTGCTATGTTCCGAAGTCCTATATTCCCCAGGTCTGATGTTCCCAGGTTCCTATATTCCCAAGAACCTTTGTTCCGAAAGTCTTTACTCTCAAGGTCCTATGTTCATAAGGTCCTATATTCCCAAGGTCTTATGTCCTCAGGGTTCTAAATTCTCAAGGCCTTATGTTCCTAGGGTCATATAGTCTCAAGGTCCAATGTTCCAAGGGTCCTATATTCCCAGGGTCCTATATTCCCAAGAGCCTATTGTATGTTCCTGAGGCCCTATATTTCCACTGTCCCATGTTCCCAAGGTCTTATATTCCCAAGGTCCCATGTTCCTGGTGTCCTATATGCATAAGGTCCTATGTCCCTAAGGTCCTATATTCCCAGATTTTAGTGTTTATATTGTCCCATGTTCCCAGGGTCCTAAATTCCCAAGGCCCTATGTTTACAAGGTCCTATATTCCCAAGGTTCTATGTTCCCAGGGTCATATATTCTCAAGGCCCTATGTTCCTAAGGTCCTATATTCCCAGATTTTAATGTTTCTAAGGTCCTGTGTTCCCAGGGTCCTATATTCACAAGGTCCTATATACCCAAGAACCTGTGTTCTTAAGGCCCTATATTCCCAATGGCCTATGTTCCCAAGGTCTTATATCCCCAAGGTCCTGTGTTCCCAAGGTCTTATATCCCCAAGGTCCTGTGTTCCCAAGGTCTTATATTCCCCAGGTCCCATGTTTCTAGTATCCTATACTCATAAGGTCCTATGTCCCTAAGGTCCTATATTCCCAGATTCTAATGTCTCTAAGGTCCTATGTTCCTTACGCCCTATACTCACAAGGTCCTATGTTCCCAGTGTCCTACGTTGCTAAGGTCCTATGTTTCCAGGGTCCTTTATTTTCCAAGGTCCTATGTTCTCAATGTTTTGTGTTCCAAGGGTCTATGACGCACATGATGGGAACCTGTAAAAGATGTTCCTCAGCTTGGTAGTTGCTTAATTTGACATGTACTGGGGTTAGTTTAGGGGACTATAATCATGACTCTGAGTCATTAAATCTACTAGACACAACCTTAACGGTACATGCTCTACCCGGTGAGCTACCAGGGTGCATCAATACTCACTGTTTCTGTATGGAGAACAGCCCCATATTTCAGCCTGAAATTTAAAATAATTTCTTAACCAACAAAAAGAGAGGAAGAAAACCACAAAATGATAAAGGAGAGAATTATTTTTTAACAGTTTGTGGTTAGGAAATCAATAGTAGTCGACTGTTGTCATTTCCAAACAGGTTAAGATTAGGAAAGCGGTCTGGGGTCAGGTTAAGATATTCATTAAATATTTAGACATGAAAGGGGTCAAATTTGACCTGAACACAAAATAAGGGTTTAACAGAATTACTGACCTTGGGAGCATAGATATGCTCCTGTTTTCTGTCAGCATGCTAAACTAACCAGCTGCTGTCTGCAAACCAGCTTAACTGTAAACTCCGTTCTCACCATATAGACACGAGCGTGGCATCAGCCTTTTATTTAACACTCAGCCAGAAAAGTGTTTTTCCCAAAATGCTAAACTAATTCTTCAGTGCTTGTAAATGCTGCTAATGCACAAATAGTGCTCAGAACAAAAAGCCAGACTTCTGATAAACAGACTCCAGTGGCTCTTATTCCCTTTCCTGCAATCAAAAGCCAATTGTTTATCTGGCAGGAATGTGAGACATCTGGTTCGTATTCATCTTATAATGACTAAAACCCAACTTTGTAGAAATTTGGCCCTGCAGGAGAACTGATGGGGCGAGGTGTGGCTGCAGCACCCCAGACCCAGAGGAGGGGCTCAGATCTGACATCACTGGAACGAGAAGAAAGAAAAATACATCCCACACCCCTCAGCTTCAGCCAGCAGGGAAGAGAGGGCTTCATACTTGTGACTGAAGCTCGAGGTGTGGCTGCGAAATCTTCACTAGTCTTCTTGGGGAGATTTTCTGACTCACAGCTTTTCTTTTCTGATGAGGCTTGAAGACTGGCTTTGTTCCAGATGAGGACAGTGCAGGTACAATCATATTTCAAACACTTCTGAACAATGCTTCAATTTATTTTAGCCTTTATTTAATAATCCATTCTCCATTCTCTTGCAATCAGAAAAAAATGATTTCCCTTTCTTTTAGACTGTAATTTCATTTTACCACTCCAACTCACTTCACAGCCAACGCTGCTGTCATCGGCGCTGCCTCAGACAAACAGCCAGGTTTATTGGACTGCGCAGGCTTTTGCATATTCCTCCTCAGCGGGAAGCACCGTGTTTCTACATGAATGAACATGGCTGAGTTGTCAGAAGGCTGAATGGTGAAACAGGCTCAATCTGTATTACACAGGGAAGGAAGCTGCTCTTTGATACCAGTGGCATGCGGAGCTGTGTCCAATTCTGTAAGCGACTCAGCGAGCACAAGACAGAATTTCATTCCTCTCGTTTAAAGTGGCATCAGATGCATAGTGTACAGAGTTATGCCAGACCACAATACAGAAAAAAAGAGCTGTCTTTGTGTTGCACAAACCCTCAGAGAGACACCCATAAATCTGGTAAACGGTTTGACTGATAATCCAAAATCATAAAAGGGGGAAACCGGTGAATGGATCTTGCATAATGTCACGTGCATGTAAACAAACTGTACAAAGCATAGCTTGTAAGCATAGTTGCAGCATGTAGTAGGCCCTTTGTAACAGTCTTCTGGTTGCCTTCTCTTTTGTCAATGGCTATGACTGATAGAGAAATGTCTGGTATGCTGGTGGCAGCTAAAGTCCAGAGAAGCCGAGTCTGGCTGGAAGGAGTCTGCCAGTGCTGGACCAAGCTCTTTGGTCCAAGATTCAGAGACAAAAAAAAAAAAACATTTGGAAGTGTCTTCACATTGTCCTGTAAACAGTTAGTGTACATGCAGATTTTTGCTGTATGCAGCATTACTGGAGAAACCGTCTACTCTGGGTTAGTTCAGTAATTATAATGTCATTAATTTTCAATCTGCCGTCGCCTTCTCCTGTCAATAAAAAGACTGGAGCTGCAGTTTACATCTCCACCTCCGCCAATAAAGTCAGTCTGTCAGAGGAAAGTGGCAGATTAAAGGGCACTCATGCAGTCTCTGGCAGTGAAGACTGGGAACCCATGCCCGCCCTCACACCTGTACGCAGCACACACACACACACACACACACACACACACACCCCACACATCTCACAAGGTGCTTCCTGCTCCCCCCTCCCCAAAAAAACTGACTCTCCAGGGAATGTTGTTAATGTCAGTCTACAGAAATCTCCCTCTTATGTGTCGGTGAGCGTGTGCCAGTGGCAGACCTGCTGTCCCTCCGCCTCTTTCATCTCTGTCCAGTGGGCCTGCTGCTCCTCGCCGGTGCTGTTGAGGCCCAGGGAGACCCAGCCCAGCCTCTCCCTGGGCCTCATGCTGCTCCGGCGGCAGAACACCGTCAGCACCAGAGACACCTCGGACAGCTGGAAGAGCGCCACCTGGAACAGGAACGTCTCCTTGTAGGTGGGGTTGGGCTGGCCGCGGCACACGGCCGTCTTGCACTTGGACATCTCTTTCCCCTTGGAGTCCAGCATGGTCAGCTTCACGTAGGTGTCTGGAAGGAGGTGTGGGAGAGTGGTGAGAGTGCGCCATCAAGTGGTGGGAGAGCAGTACTGCAACAAGCACAGTTTTAACTAAGTTCAAAGTTTTTAAATGTTGGAAGCAGAGTCAGTGTCTGGAAGTGAACCAGAACTTAAGACCAGTGCTGTACATTCATATTATGTGAGCTTGTTTTAAAGGGCCAGTTCCCCAAAAAAGTATATATTTTCTCAATCACTACTACTGGTATCTAACCATGAAGCTTGTTTCAGTTTTGCCCAGGTTTTTCAGATGTCTGTATCTGAGATTTTCTGCTTCGTTAAAAACGACATTTTAAAACACGTCTTTCCAAAATTATTGTCCTTGTTGCTCTAATAATCCACAGACTTCACTGTGAACAGTTTCAAAGTCCTGGAATCTGTTCACAATGAAGTCTGTGGATTATTCAGAGTTATGACGACACTAATTCTGGAAATATTATGGATTCTTGGGACATAAACACTATGTAATACTACTGCATTTGGAAAATATGAGTATTTGCTTTCTTCCATAGTTGGAAAACTATGCATTGATACTGTGAGGGGTGAGAACCAGGGGGGTGTGAGTGACATTTTGGGTGGAAATACATTATCAAATGTTTCCTTAAGGGCTCTTTCTACTGCATTCTACTGAAAGGATGCTTGTGAACTCTAAACCAATTCAGATTTATTATTCAAAAGTCAAAAGACTTCACACTGAGCTATTTGGTCCCAAAAGGGCACAAGTGTACTTGAAAATATTTTCTTCAGTAAATTTTAAAACATTGTTCATTATCTAAGTCCATCACTTTCATCTGCTGGGGCCAGGTCATGGGGCAGCAGGCCAAGTATAGCACCCCAGGCGTCCCTCTCCCCAGCAATGCTTTTGCAGCTATCTCTGGATTACCCAGAGGCGTTCTCAGGCCAGATGGGATATGTAGTCCCTCCAGCGTGTTCTGGGTCTGCCCTGGGGCCTCCTACCAGTTGTATGTAAGACATTAAGTATTAAGACATTGCCCAGTTTTATATTCAAGGTTATAATCAATGAATAAAGTTGGAAAGTATGGTCATTTTTTTGTTTTGGCTGTCCTGTAAATTCGGTCAAATTCGGCCAGCTAGCCTAGCTCCGTCCAAAGGTGAAAAAAAATCAGTCTGTTAGCCCTTTGAAGCTCACAAATAAACATGGTATCTACTTAATATGTTTATATATTTCCTGTATTTATTTATTAATGGTACAACGGTACAAAAACGTACAGTACAGGCCAAAAGTTTGGACACACCTTCTCATTCAATGCGTTTTCTTTATTTTCATGACTATTTACATTGTAGATTCTCACTGAAGGCATCAAAACTATGAATGAACACATGTGGAGTTATGTACTTAACAAAAAAAGGTGAAATAACTGAAAACATGTTTTATATTCTAGTTTCTTCAAAATAGCCACCCTTTGCTCTGATTACTGCTTTGCACACTCTTGGCATTCTCTCCATGAGCTTCAAGAGGTAGTCACCTGAAATGGTTTCCACTTCACAGGTGTGCCTTATCAGGGTTAATTAGTGGAATTTCTTGCTTTATCAATGGGGTTGGGACCATCAGTTGTGTTGTGCAGAAGTCAGGTTAATACACAGCCGACAGCCCTATTGGACAACTGTTAAAATTCATATTATGGCAAGAACCAATCAGCTAACTAAAGAAAAACGAGTGGCCATCATTACTTTAAGAAATGAAGGTCTGTCAGTCCGGAAAATTGCAAAAACTTTAAATGTGTCCCCAAGTGGAGTCGCAAAAAACATCAAGCGCTACAACGAAACTGGCACACATGAGGACCGACCCAGGAAAGGAAGACCAAGAGTCACCTCTGCTTCTGAGGATAAGTTCATCCGAGTCACCAGCCTCAGAAATCGCAAGTTAACAGCAGCTCAGATCAGAGACCAGATGAATGCCACACAGAGTTCTAGCAGCAGACCCATCTCTAGAACAATTGTTAAGAGGAGACTGCGCCAATCAGGCCTTCATGGTCAAATAGCTGCTAGGAAACCACTGCTAAGGAGAGGCAACAAGCAGAAGAGATTTGTTTGGGCCAAGAAACACAAGGAATGGACATTAGACCAGTGGAAATCTGTGCTTTGGTCTGATGAGTCCAAATTTGAGATCTTTGGTTCCAACCGCCGTGTCTTTGTGAGACGCAGAAAAGGTGAACGGATGGATTCCACATGCCTGGTTCCCACTGTGAAGCATGGAGGAGGAGGTGTGATGGTGTGGGGGTGTTTTGCTGGTGACACTGTTGGGGATTTATTCAAAATTGAAGGCACACTGAACCAGCATGGCTACCACAGCATCCTGCAGCGACATGCCATCCCATCCGGTTTGCGTTTAGTTGGACGATCATTTATTTTTCAACAGGACAATGACCCCAAACACACCTCCAGGCTGTGTAAGGTCTATTTGACCAAGAAGGAGAGTGATGGAGTGCTGCGGCAGATGACCTGGCCTCCACAGTCACCGGACCTGAACCCAATCGAGATGGTTTGGGGTGAGCTGGACCGCAGAGTGAAGGCAAAGGGGCCAACAAGTGCTAAACACCTCTGGGAACTCCTTCAAGACTGTTGGAAAACCATTTCAGGTGACTACCTCTTGAAGCTCATGGAGAGAATGCCAAGAGTGTGCAAAGCAGTAATCAGAGCAAAGGGTGGCTATTTTGAAGAAACTAGAATATAAAACATGTTTTCGGTTATTTCACCTTTTTTTGTTAAGTACATAACTCCACATGTGTTCATTCATAGTTTTGATGCCTTCAGTGAGAATCTACAATGTAAATAGTCATGAAAATAAAGAAAACGCATTGAATGAGAAGGTGTGTCCAAACTTTTGGCCTGTACTGTACATATAAAAATGTCAATTTAAAGTTTGAGGAGAAGAAGTGCTGAGCATTTATTGACCTACTTGTGTACATGCACATTTACATTACACCCACAGAAATAAACTTTAGAGGTGGTGGTAAGGATTTTTTTGGACAGAGTCAGGCCAGCTGTTCACCGTTTTCAGTCTTAATGCAAAACTAAACTAAGAGTCCTCAGGCTGTAGCTTCAGATTTACTGTACAGACATGTGAGCATGTCTGTGAGAAGGCAAAGAAGTGTTTTCTCCCAAAAATTCCTTTAAAGATTTCAGCACAGTTATATGTGCAAACACCAGAAATAAAACCAAACGTTTCTGTGTTGCTGGATACTGCAAGATACGAGTGATGTTGTTCTGAAATTTGGACGGACTAGCCCTTTAATTTAATGTTATATATGTAAGAAACAAATATTTGGAGGATTATATTCAAAGAGTGTGTGTTTGTTAATTTACGCACTGATCAAATTTCATCCAGGGAACCAAACGTGGCATTTTGGGTTAAAACCTTAAAATATAACTTACACATGATTGAAATATTCCTAACACTAATTACCTGAAGTAATTAAGTACTGACTCACCTCTCATGATATAAAGCTGCCCCCCGACAAAGTGTTTTATACAACAGAACAGACCGTCTGTGACACACACCACGGCACACAGAGTTGGAAAGAAGAAAGAGAGGAAATAGTTTTCAGATTGTGACACACACCAAAAGTTCAGCTTTCATGGAACTCTGATAAACTGTAATTGTTTCAGCATTATGGCTTTAATCACTGAGGTTATTAAAAAGCTGGTGCTGTTGCCAGGAAACATTTAAATGTAATGGTGCACAATTTGTTTTCGTTACACGCTGCCGGGAGTCTTGCCCATCTGTTTTGCCAAAACAATTGCTCAGTGTATCAGCACACTTCGGGGAAGCAATATTACAAGAGAGAAATTTTACCGAAAGGGAAATTTACATTGTCACTCGGCACCTCTATCAAAGCTGGCACAACAGCCAAGAATTAAATGATTTTACATGGAAGCTTTTGTACGTACTGACGGGTTTATCCGACGCTGTGGTTTTAAAGTGGCTTCCCTGGATGACCTCAGCTGATAGCTGTCCCGTGGCAGAGTTGTAGATGAGACCCAGGAGGATCTCTGGTAAGGAGGAGTCTTCAGTGGAGCGGTAGGACAGAGCTCCTGCACTGCGAGACACGCTCACCACAGAGCCACAACCCTGGGAATATCAACCACAGAGGGAGTTATCAGTAAAAGCATCAGTCGGATTTTGAACAGTATCTACATGGAGTCATAACCAATAAAAAGAAGGCATTCCAAGGCAGTCTGGCCTTCTTATAGGACCTGGATCCTCAACAGGCGGTCTGTGACCTCTAAGAGGCCCTCAGAGTTTCTGCAAGGGGCTGCCAGATTATTGTTTGATGATTTATTTATTTAATTCTGAATTAAAATATGTATGAAAAAAAACCAATAACATAAATCCAACATTTTATTAGCTACTGTAAGATAAATCAGGCCATTCATTAAAAATATGTAGATATATATTTAATTTAATCTACATTACACATTATTGGTGATAAGCTAACTGTTAAGGCACACACCAAGCTGACAGTCAGCCATTGGTCAAATTTGAGCCGTTGGTGAGCGTCTGCCACCCTCGTCAGTGCAGTGTGTCCTGCACTGTTGCCCCTCTTTGCCCCCCATTGGCTTTTTGCTAAGCCGATTCAATGTCGGCACAGCCAATCACTCTGATTGGCAGTTCAGCTCAGCGCACGAGAAGAGAAACTGAAGTGAGGTAAGTAAACAAAAAGCTAAAGCTGAGAGGGACCAAAACAAACTTGTTACATAAGGCAAGATTATTTTTCTTTAGCAGATGTTAATGTGCTAACTAGCGCCAAGACATTTTTCTGGTTCCGTCTGCTGGTGTTGAGTCATTTCCTCCCACACAAGCCCAGAACATATATGCTGGTTGACAGTTAGCAGTAGTCTTTGCAGTGTGTTCATGTGCAACTTTTTTGGCTGAGACACGGCAACGTAAGGTGACACAGCAGGGGGCCTTCCTTGCTGCTAGTTCTCTGAAGTCAGTTTGGTGTGTCTGGGTCTTTACCCATGAATCCTTGTACAATCATGTGAGTTAACTAACACTAAATCAATGTGCCGCAGCTATCCACAAGGTTAGGCTAACTAGTTAGCTAGCTGTTATGTAGGCTACTATTGAAACATAGTGGCCATTTAGCTGTGTTACTATTCCAAGTGTACGCACATTCCTGTGAGGCACAATGGATAGTTAGGTAACTTTTCAAGCAAGAGACTCTGACACATCGTCCACCTCAGAAACTACCGGCGAAAGTGCAAAGGTGAAGCTAACACACCTAGCCATGCTCCAACTGCTGTTCGCTTAACAACTACTGGCAAGCACAACCTAGAGAAAACCTGAACCCCTCTCACTAGGGTGAGAAAAACTGAACATTATTGGGATGTTAACTCCTGGTATAACAAAACAAAGACATCTGAAGATTTCACGTTGGACTCTAGGAAATTAGGATGGTTATTTTCTTATAGTTTTATAGAATAAGAATAAATGTATTAATTGAGAAAATATAAAGATTAATTGATAATGAAAACAGCCCTTACTTGAAGCCCTAGATTAATATGCAGTTGAATGACACAGGTCTGCAGCTGATATATTCACTGTCAAACTACAGTCCCAGTGCGTCAGATAAAACTATGCACAGTGTAAGATATAAATTCACAAAGTGTTCTCACTGTAAGTTCAGAGCCCGGCTCCAGGGTGACAGGCAGAGCGATCTTGCCCTGCAGGTTGAGCTTAGTCAGGTAGAACACCTTCTCTCCCAGGACCTTCTCCTTTTTCATCCGCCTGATGCTGTACAGTCGGAAGCGCACAGCGTAGTCCCCCAGGGCCTCCTGTTCCACCCTGGAAAACTTGAATGTTTCCGTGAAGACAGGACACGGGCCCTTCTGCACGCCCGTCTTGGCCCGTTGCTTCTTGGTGGGCAGCAGGACCAGGTGGACCTGCCACGCGATGTTGCCCGTCTGTTTGAGAGCAGGGATGTCTGTTGCCGCGGTGACCGTGACAGCCAACCACTGCTCACCAGAGTCATATTCAAAAGCGACGTCCAGGGTGCCGTATTTGGCGAGTGGCTCTGGCTCGTAGGCTGTGGGGAGGCGAGGACCGGAGCCGTCCTGAAGGGAGAAAAGAATAAGAGGAAGGCTGAGTGTAAGAGAGGAGAGAATCTGAAGCAACTTCCTCCATCAACTTCCTCCTGTTCCTGGGTCAGTTAAGTTACTCATCATGGTTGGGTAGGAACAGATTACATGTACTTGGGAATACGTAATCAAACCAGATTACATTTGAAAGCATATAATTAGATCATACAAATAATGAGATTATTAAGAATTATTTGATTACATTTTGCCTTTAAAATGTGGCAAATTTAAAACTTAAAATTAAATTAAATGAATATAAATTGAAATAAAATAATAATTAATAATTTAAAAAAAATATCTGTTTAAAATAATAACCTATATTTTATGTCTCAACACAGTGAAAAAGTTGCTGTGTTTCCTGCTGCAAACATATTTTGTTCACACAGAAAATATTTCTGGCAGTAGGAAGAGATGTTAAAAAAAAAAGGGAGGAAAAATGTAAATGAGTTTCTGAATAAGTTAAGACAATAAATTAATAATCTACAAAGTAGCTTGTGCAGCAAAAGGTATTTTTAGAGCTATTAGAGAGTTTTTCACCTGTTTTTGTCATGTTTAAAATAATCACGGATTTATTTTTATATAATGATCCTCAGGAGTTATAATAATGAGATCTGGGTCAGACTGAGTATCAGGATATTCTGTAGGACCAATGTAACAACAGCACAACAATATCTGGAACAGTGCTGGTATTTTTGTCCCCTTTCAAACCAGTACAATGACTCGCCCCCCCTGTCTCGTTATAATGAGATGAGCTGAACTGTAACTGACACTGTAATCTAAGTAACACTGACAGTAAACAACTTACTGTATGTAATTACAGTAGTGGTCTCACATGAATCTTTAATTAATTGGCAGTAAGGGGGCTTTGTATATACGGTGTTTATACTATAACCTTGGTGAACAACAAGGCAGGTTTGATATAAAATATATTCATACTATAAAAAGAACTGATAGTGCTGCTTAAAGTCACAGAGGAGGGAACACAGAGTAGCTCTGCTCTGACCTCTGGTCCCAGCACAGCGGTGCTGTCACTGGGAATGTCCTCCTCGCAGCCTTTGTTGAGGTAGCTCTCAGTGTCCTGCTCCACGCTGGCCTCACTGGAGCAGCGGGGGCTGTCGCAGCGCTGTGGGGACGACCCCCTCCTGACCCCTTGCTCCAAGCGGGACCGAGAGGACACGCGCACCGCCGAGCCCTCGTCCTGATACGGTGGAGGCTGAGTCTCACTGAGGGATGACTCCTTCTTAATTCTCTGGATGCTGTTGGCTGCTCTCAGCACAGTGACACAGAGAGATGCAGAGGGAGTAATGTGATACAAGAGGAGTGTTACTGGAGACGCACTGTGCTCTGCAGAGATACACATTATGTATGCAATGTACAGTCGACCACAGAGTCAGGTTAACCTCTTAAACTGTGTCAGAGCCACAGAGGCCATCTTTTTTTTTTTTTTAACTAAAACAGCTTCACAGACTTTTATTCTAAACTCTTGTCGAGATGTAAAATTCAGTCACACAAAGATTGGCATCTTGAGTTTAAATATTTCACTCTGTAATTATCATGTGAAAAAAGATCCTACATAAATAAGTGCACACTAAAGGCAGACATTAAATGCAGTTCAAAGTTTTGAGTAACTTCTCTAATATAGTGAGACTTTACAGGAATACTTCACCCCCTAAATGATCACTTGTATATCAGTTGTTCAACCCATTCAATTCAATTTCAATTTTATTTATAAAGCCCAATATCACAAATCACAATTTGCCTCACAGGGCTTTACAGCATACGACATCCCTCTGTCCTTAAGACCCTCACAGCGGATAAGGAAAAACTCCCCAAAAAAAACCCCTTTAACGGGGAAAAAAAACGGTAGAAACCTCAGGAAGAGCAACTGAGCAATAGATGTCGTACAGAACAGATCAGCATAATAAATTAACAGTAATCCATATGACACAATGAGACAGAGAGAGAGAGAGAGAGAGAGAGAGAGAGAGAGAGATGTGCAGGTAATGACAGTAGCTTACAACAACATTAATGAAAGTAATAATATTATAGTTATAGTTCTGGCTACTGTGGTACAATATGTTGAAAGTATGTATTAATATCTGACAGTATACTTGTGTGACAATAGTCATATGTGTATAATAACAGTAGAAGTATGACTAATGACTAATGATGGCAGCAGCAGCAGGAGGCATCTGGCAGGACCACGGCAGCAGCACAACCACACACGTCACGCTGTCCAGGCACCGCTGCGGTATGAGTTAATCTGAGAGACAGTGGAGCACAAAGGCTCCGGAGAAGAAGCCGAGTTAGTGACATCCAGAATGGCCGAGTTAGCAAGATGCAGTAATAGGATACGAGAGAGAGAGAGAGAAAGAGAGAGAGAGAGAGAGAGAGAGAGAGAGAAGGAGAGAAGGTGCCCGGTGTATTATAGGGGGGTCCTCCGGCAGACTAGGCCTAAGTCAGCCTAACTAGGGGCTGGTACAGGGCAAGCCTGAGCCAGCCCTAACTATAAGCTTTATCAAAGAGGAAAGTCTTAAGTCTAGTCTTAAATGTGGAGACGGTGTCTGCCTCCCGGACCGTAACAGGAAGATGATTCCACAGGAGAGGAGCCTGATAGCTGAAGGCTCTGGCTCCTGATCTACTTTTGGAGACTTTAGGGACCACGAGTAACCCTGCGTTCTCAGAGCGCAGTGTTCTGGTGGGATAATATGGCACTATGAGCTCTCTAAGATATGACGGAGCTTGACCATTTAGAGCTTTATAAGTTAACAGTAGGATTTTAAATTCAATTCTGGATTTTACAGGGAGCCAGTGCAGAGAAGCTAAAACAGGAGAAATATGATCTCGTTTCTTAGTTCCTGTTAGTACACGTGCTGCTGCATTCTGAATTAGCTGGAGAGTTTTTAAGGACTTACTAGAGCTACCTGATAATAGAGAGTTACAGTAATCCAGCCTTGAGGTAACAAAAGCGTGGACCAATTTTTCTGCATCTTTTCGGGTCAGGATAGGCCTAATTTTCGCAATATTACGCAGATGAAAAAATGCAGTCCGTGAGGTTTGCTTTAAATGAGAATTAAAAGACAAATCTTGATCAAATATTACTCCGAGGTTTCTTACGGTAGTGCTAGAGGCCAGAGCAATGCCATCTAGAGAAACTATGTCATCAGATAAAGAGTCTCTGAGTTGTTTGGGGCCAAGAACAATAACTTCAGTTTTGTCTGAATTTAACATCAGGAAATTGGTGCTCATCCAATTTTTTATGTCTTTAAGGCAGTTATGGAGTTTAGTTAATTGATTACTTTCTTCTGGCTTCATCGATAAATACAACTGTGTATCATCCGCATAACAATGGAAATTTATAGAGTGATTTCTAATGATGTTACCTAAAGGAAGCATATATAGAGTAAATAGGATTGGTCCGAGCACAGAACCTTGCGGAACTCCAAAACAAACTTTGGTACGTAAGGATGATTCATTACGAACGTCAACAAATTGAAAACGATCAGATAAATAAGATTTAAACCAGCTTAGTGCTGAACCTTTTAGGCCAATTAAGTGATCCAGTCTCTGCAGTAGAATTTGATGGTCAATTGTGTCAAACGCCGCACTAAGATCTAATAAAACAAGAACAGAGACGAGTCCTTTGTCTGAAGCAATCAGAAGGTCATTTGTAATTTTAACTAGAGCTGTCTCAGTGCTATGATGCACTCTAAATCCTGACTGAAATTCCTCAAATAAATTATTATCCTGGAGAAAATCACACAGCTGGTCTGCGACTACTTTCTCAAGGATCTTTGACATAAAGGGAAGATTAGATATTGGTCTATAGTTGGCTAACACCTCTGGATCCAGGGTGGGCTTTTTTAGGAGAGGTTTAATTACAGCTACCTTAAAAGACTGTGGTACATAGCCTGTTAATAGGGATATATTGATCATATCTAATATATGAGTGTTAACTAAAGGAAAGACCTCCTTAAGTAGCCTAGTTGGGATGGGGTCTAAGAGACACGTTGATGATTTAGATGAAGAAATCACTGCGGTCAATTCTTGAAGAGAAATTGGGGAGAAGCAATCTAAATATATATTAGATTCTACAGCTGTGTTTGAGGTTAGATAGGTAGGCCTACCATCTGAGGGCAGGAGGTCATGAATTTTGCCTCTAATAGTTAGAATTTTGTCATTAAAAAAGCTCATAAAATCATTACTGCTAAGGGCTAAAGGAATACAAGGCTCAATAGAGCTTTGACTCTCAGTCAGCCTGGCTACAGTGCTGAAAAGAAACCTGGGGTTGTTCTTGTTTTCTTCTATTAATGCTGAGTAATAGTTTGCTCTGGCATTGCGGAGGCCCCTCTTATAAGTTTTGAGACTGTCTGTCCAGATTAAACGAGATTCTTCCAGTTTGGTTAATCGCCAATTCCTTTCAAATTTTCGCGATATTTGTTTTAACCTACGGGTTTGAGAGTTATACCAAGGAGCAAACTTTCTTTGCTTTGTTAACTTCTTTTTAAGAGGAGCTACAGAGTCGAGCGTTGTTCGCAGCGAGCCTACGGCGCTATCAACAAAATGATCAATTTGGGAGAGGTTAAAGTCGGCACGGGAAACCTCTGTTACTGAAGGTATTGGTATTGAATTTAACGACGAAGTAATCTTTTCCTTAAATTTTGTGACAGCACTATCTGATAAACATCTAGTATAGTAACTGTTGCTGAGTGGCGTGTAATCGAGTAAAAAGAAATCAAAAGTAATCAGATAATGATCTGATAGCAAGGGATTCTGTGGAAAGACTTTTAGGTTATCAATTTCAATTCCATACGTCAGAACTAGATCGAGGGTATGGTTAAAACAGTGAGTGGGTTCATGTACACCCTGACTGAAGCCAATGGAGTCTATTAATGAGATAAACGCGGTAGCCAGGGAGTCATTATCAACGTCGACATGAATGTTAAAATCGCCTACAATAATAACTTTATCTGATTTAAGAACTAAACTGGATAAAAACTCTGAGAATTCAGATACAAATTCAGAATACGGGCCAGGAGCACGGTACACTATAACAAATAAAAGTGGCTGCGAGGTTTTCCAGGTCGGATGTAAAACACTAAGAACGAGGCTTTCAAATGAATTATAATCTAGTTTAGGTTTAGGGCTGATTAACAGACTAGAGTTAAAAATGGCTGCAACTCCCCCTCCTCGGCCGCTGCCTCGAGGAATGTGGGTATTATTATGACTGGGAGGAGTGGACTCATTTAGACTAACATATTCATCTTGACACAGCCAGGTTTCAGTGAGACTGAGTAAATCAATATGATTATCTGATATTAATTCGTTTACTAACACTGCTTTAGACGATAGAGACCTGATATTTAACAGTCCGCATTTAATTCTCCTGTTTTGTCTTTCTGTCACAGAAGAGGTTTTAATTTTTATGAGGTTGTTATGCACAACTCCTCTTTGTTTAATTTTAGATTTAAATAATTTAGGTGGTCGGGGGACAGACACCGTTTGTATAAAACTATGAAAACTATGGCTGGGTAACTGAACTAGAAGCTCAGAGAGGCGTTTAGGACTGCAACTCTCTGTCCTGGTCTCAACTCTGGGTTGTCAGGGATTTAAATTACTAATAAAATTTGCCAGGTTCCTAGAAATGAGAGCAGCTCCATCCAAAGTGGGGTGAATGCCGTCTCTCCTAATAAGACCAGGTTTTCCCCAGAAAGTTTGCCAATTATTAACAAAACCCACATCGTTTGCTGGACACCACCTGGACAGCCAGCGGTTAAATGATGACATGCGGCTAAACATGTCATCACTGGTCAGATTTGGGAGGGGTCCAGAGAAAACTACGGAGTCCGACATCGTTTTTGCATATTCACACACCGAGGCAATATTAATTTTAGTGACCTCCGATTGGCGTAACCGGGTGTCATTGCCGCCGACGTGAATAACAATCTTACTGAATCTACGTTTAGCTTTAGCCAGCAGTTTTAAATTTGATTCAATGTCGCCCGCTCTGGCCCCAGGGATACATTTGACTATGGCCGCTGGTGTTGCTAACTTCACGTTCCTCAGAATAGAGCTGCCAATAACCAGAGTTTTATCCTCAGCGGGTGTGTCGCTGAGTGGGGAAAAGCGGTTGGAAACGTGAACAGGCTGGTGGTGAGCCGTGGGCTTCTGCTTGGAGCTGTGCTTCTGGCGAACCGTAACCCAACCTCCCGGCTGAACGGGAGTTACCGGAGGACAGTTAGCTGAGGCTAAGGCTATGCTATGTGGCTCCGCACCGGCTACAGGGGGCTGGCTAACTACCGCAGCTACTGAATGGTTTTCCATGGTGCGGAGCCGCGCTTCTAATTCACTAAGCCTCGCCTCCAACGCAGCAAATAAGCTACACTTATTACAATTACCACTGTCGCTAAAGGAGGCAGAGGCATAACTGAACATTTGGCACACCGGGCAAGAAAGAGCAGGAGAAGGAGAAGCCATGGCTAAGCTAAAGTAGCTAACAAGGCTAAGAGCGTGCAAACAACAGCTAAGAGATTAGCGAGAAAGTCGTAGAAAGGAGGAGAGCTATAAGTGCTTAAACAGAACCAGTGTGGGTTATGACTTGAAGTAGACGTTAAAGCAGCGTTAAAGCAACTGAGGTGAGAAAGCAGGCTAGCAGAATTCACCAGAGCAGTACAGAGACACTGTCACAGAAACACCGGAAATGACACCATGTATTCTAAATTTGGGAACTCACACTCCAGTGTGAATGAAGAATCTGTAAAAAGCTACTTTCCCTTCTCCCTCCCTTGTAGATCTGCCCAGGTGAGCTGCATTACCTAACGAGGTGCATCACACCTGGCATGGAGGAGGCCTCTGCTGCCTCTCAGCTTGGGATTTTTGTTGTCTTGTTTGCTTGTTTTATCTGTTAATAAATCCCATGGAATTGAGTGTTTTAAAGGTGTTTATGTGGTCATTTGGGCCAGTGTTGGAGTTTTGTTTGCCCCATAGGGCCACCTAAGGGTGGGGCGTCACGAAAGCAAACATTCTTCATGAACTTAAGTTGTAGGGGAACACGTTCTCAAAAACAGTGGAGATGCACCACTCATCTGTGTGAGACTATTTATGCGCACGTTTTTTAGATAGTTATGTTATAGAAAAATTAGTGTGTTTGGGGAGTACTGAGCATACGACTGGATAAATAAGACTTGGATTATAATGCATGAGAGTTTGCGACCAGATGGTTTATTATAGTTTTGCTGTTTTTAAACACAAACCCCTACGACTCCAGTACATCAAGAATTTCCTCCATTTTTGGATTCTCCGTTGGAGGCATGCAAGAACAATTACGTTTTCTTCACAAATTCAAGGTAACATTGGGTAAGTAATTGATATACAAATACAGTGGGGGCTGGGTTATAAACCATTTGGGGGGGAGTCTTCCTTTAACCCTTTGATACCTGGAGTGACATCACTTTTCTTGTGCTTTCAGATGCCTTTCGCAAGTGTTTAAACCTTTAAAGGTAGGGTCTGGAGGATTTTCCAGTTGCTGTTTGTAAACACACATTCAAATTTGGCCCCTCCTATCAAGCTCAACTCTCCTGGGTGTACGGAGCCCGGAGTTACGGAAGAAGGCTTCACAGAAGAGGTTCAGGCAAGGCTCGCGCTGGTGCACGCTCGGACACGCTCGGGCACGGCACCTGCGCTCTCTCATTGGCTGGGGAAATCTCCGCCCAGAAGCGGTCCGAGCTCACAAAAACATCAAAATACAGTTAAAGGGCAGGAGCTCTGCAAACAGAGTCACCACCACACAAGTAGAAGCCCATAGGTGATTATTAAGCAGGATTTCATTTGTATATGTCTATATTTTGTTTTGTTTGAAAATCCTCCAGATCCTACCTTTAAACCCTGAGCAAATTGGTGCAATTTCTTTCAGAAACATGGGGAAAAAGGTGATGAGCAACATGGTAAAAAATGTCCCACAAATTGCAAAAAATAAATAAAATAAAATAGAAAATATAAGAAAAAAAGCTAGGAAAAAATATAATAATAATAATAATAATAATTATTATTATTATTATTAGATTTTAAAATTATTTTATAGAATTATTATAATTTTAAGCACTCTTTCCAGGTCATTTCCTTGTTTATTTGTTTTTAACTTTCTTTTTTTCCCCCACTAATTTTCTTGTATTTAATTTTTTTCTTTTTACTAATTTTTTTGTGTCATTTATTCTTTAGTTTAAAAAAAAAATCTAGCCAATTTTCTCAGGTTTCAAAGTGTCAAAGTAACATGACGGCTCAGCACAGACTAGAAAGGGACATACAGTGACGGGAAGTGTAAAATGTGAAAATATCAAACTGATATAAATGTCTTCATTTTGACCTTTTAGGCAACATCAATAGAAGTGAAATTAAGAAACAATGGTACATTGTACACAGAATAGGTACTTGAAATTATTAATGTTGTTATTGCATTTATTACATTTTATTTTTAGACATTTCAATTAATTGAATCTCTGTTTTTATAGTCATGTTGTGTTATATTTTCATCATATTTCATCTTGCGTGTCTTGTGTGTTTTGTAACCTTTATGTTTTATGATGTGCAGTGTTTGTGTTGTATAACTGAGCGTGCTCTCACCTCGCCCACTGGAGGCCTCACTGCTGTAGCCTCCCTGCTCAGCGGACTGTTTGTGTTTGTTGCTCCACGCAGAAGTCGTGTTCTGCTGGGCCACAGCCTCGGGGCCTTTGTCCTCCTCGCTGTCTGATAAAACTCCCTCTGGACAGAGCACACGGAGACTCCAGTTCAAACATTACATTTGTCTTACAAAATACAACATGTGCAGCGTTTGAATAAAAGCAGGACACAGGAGCAGAGATGCAGAAGCTGAAACTGGCACACAGCAGGCTGGGAAAAGGTCCTTCAAGGTAAGAGCTTCAGAGAAGAAGAAGAAGAAGAGACCCAGGTCGTGAAACAGAAGCAGCACACCATCTAACCTTGTTTTCCTTTCTTTTTCTTCTTGCTTTTCTTCCTTTTCTCCTTCTTCTTCTCCACGTCCAAGGCTTCATCAGATTTCTTTGAACCCTCTTTTGCTTCTTTCTTCTTCTTCTTCTTGTCTGACTTTTTCTTTTTCACCGTTGAGGAAGATCTAGAGAGCTCAGCCTCCTCCTCATCATCTCCCTCTCTCTCCAGGCTTTTCTCTTCCTCTTCCTCTCTGTCCTCTGTTTGCTTATTCTGTTTTGCTGACCCGCTTTCAGTGTCAGGACCAGGTGATGGAGGGGCTTTGTCGCAGTCATCACCTCTTGGCTGAGCAATGGCGTGCTCTCCACTGTCACTTGCCTTCCTGTCTCGTCCATCACTGGTGTCTGTTTTCTCTGAAGCATCACCTCCCTCCTCTTTCTCTCTGTCTTGGGATTCCTCTTTGTTTTTCTTTGCCTCTTTCTCCAGCTGCTTTTCTCTCCTCTCTCTCCTCCTCTGCTCTTTCTTCTCCTGCAGCTCCTTCTCCTCCTGCTTCCTCTTCTCTTCCTCTGCCAACTCGGCCTCTGTCTTTTTAACTCGCCAGCACCCGTCCCTCCATTCCCACTCCAGCTGGCTCTGGGCGCACTCTGCCTCTTTGGTTTCACTGGACTGGTTGGTCTTTGAGGACGTGTTGCTGGCTTTGCTTCCTCCTTCCTGTGCCGTGGACGTCTGACCAGACTCCTGGCCGCCGGCGTTCTCACCATCTTCCTCGTCCTGCACCTTGTTGATTATAGTGGTGACCTGCTCAGTCAGCTGGTCGCTGACAGCGTAAGTGACGTCGCTGACGGCGTTGGCCAGGTCGTCCACGCGACTGGTGACGGCATCCAGGACGGAGGAAATGTTGACAGATGGGAGGTTCTGCTGGAAGCTCTTGAAGAAGGCCATCTCTCAGTCGGGGATCCTGTCACCACGCTGACCACTAGATTAGCTCATCAGAGGCACTGACACGGACATGTGGTTGTTAGCAGGGGGGTGCCATCAGTGTGTGCTGACACCAACACATGTACACACACCAATATGGTGACTGTAAAGATTGTAACACGTTTGTACAAGAGCTCTCTCACAGTGATTTTCTCATGTTCAAACATTAGAGTCACAATAAAATGAACATTAATTTATGAAGTGGGACAGTAGCACTTCAGAAACACATGACAATCTCAAGCTACGGCCTCAGTTAAGACTTCATTTTTACATTTTCTCCAGTACTAACTCTGTTCTCATGTCAGAGTGCTCTACAATCAGGTAATTATCCATCCTCCCTCCACTATAACTTGTCTGCAATCATGTGAATCATGTGTGAATTCAGATGGAAGGCAGGAAGTGATAAATCTATACTCTAAGAACTGCAAATAAAGGAAAATGACTATAAGCGCTGAACCTGCAGGCAGCAGGTATCCTCAGAAAACTGAAACTTGTATTGGATGTGATCTGTACGAAACAAAGAAAAGGGATTTTTCCTATAACCTGACCAGTTTGCCCAAAGTGGACACAATATGAACAACATCAGCACCACCAGGCCGGATCCCTGATACTACAACTGCTCATGCCTGGCCCTCAGCAGTACCTCCTGTTGGTAGATTGTCATCAGCATATCCTGATTATTTCCTCAGACCAGTACACCCAGCGAGCCCTGGGCCCATCAGTCCACAGCTTGTTGTAACTCAGCAATCAGCACAGAAAGACACGTGACACATGTGCAGCCATGTCAGCAAGCTCTCAACCCGTGTGCTTTACGATCATCATAATAAATTACCTCGTGCTGCAGATGTCCTAACGTTACTGTATTACTACTGGGCTAGCCGATGAAAGCGTACAAGAGTCTAGTGGAGAGCACTGTTAAAATCTGGGTCGACAAATTTGACACAAAGCTCTAACATTTATGTTTGACGTTAGCTGACTGTGCCCCTCCAGACTTAAGGCGGAGGTTTACGATCCACATTTCACATCACAGATTTTTTTTTACTTCTCGTTTTTTTCTCGATTTGACCCACTGGAACAGCCGTAAACGGCGCTAGTCATAGACATTAGTTCAGTGTTTGTGGTCGTTGCCTCCAGTTGCATGCCCTCCATCTGGACAGTGCACTGATCCCAGTTGGTACCAGACGTCAGAGAGACGTTGGACGCTTCCATCAGACAGATGTAAAATTTTGGTTACGATGATTATTTTGTTGACTATATTTTAAATGTCTAAAGATTTTAGAATTTCAAGTTGTGGAGACGTAAACATTATGAGGCTAGCAGATGTCGGGTTTTGTTCTCCATACTTTACAACTAAATGCTGTTATTCTACGTCAAGATGACATGGGAATGAGATGTTTGGAAGACATTGGATTTTGGTTACTTAACAACACAACTTAAAACCAACAAAATACTATCATCGTTATCTGTCATCAGCATTCTATGTCAAATTGACGTTGACATTAGACGTTGTCCTGACATTGAAATTTGGTCAAGTGGTATCACAACCTAAGTTCAACTAAGTATCAATGTCTGGCAACATTTGTGGCCAGCTGGGATGTATGATGTCATATGCAAAAAAAAGCTATTCTCTGGTCCCAGACCAGAATATTAATCAAGGCCCGCCATCATCAAGTTATGTTTCCATCCATTAAACAAGGATCGAGGAGGGAGGAACCAAAGGTATATCCCGTGCAGAACTTTTTTAATGGAACATCAACACCCCTTTGATCGTAAAATTGATTGAGGAACTATGAATAAATGACAACATGATCACACACCTCGGATTATACAGAAAAAATACACAGCTATACAGCTTCACAGTTGAGCGTACAAACATACATTGAAACCACTTATGGAACAAATTCTGTTTGCAAATTAACACTATATAAAGTGTTTAACCTTCTCTCTTGTATATTCTTGTTCAGTGTGGTGACACTCCATCACACCTGGAGATGATGTTTGCTGAAACATGTCAGGATAAGAAATAAAAAGGTTAACTGAGGCCATTTTATGTGATTTTTTTTTGTTTCTGGAGGACTGCTGTCCCAGGTCATAAGAACACCCATTTCACCATTTCAGCCCACAAACCCGGCATATGAACAGTAAGCTGCTTTTTTTCTCGGATTTGATTTGGTTTTACATTGGACATGTGTCTGAGACGACATCAGGGTAAACTTCAAGGTCTGAACATAAAACCAGAACAAGCCCAACAATCATCCTAACGTGTGTGTATATGCAGCCACTGTTGTAGATCTACATGTGTGTTGAGTACCTGGCTGGTTGTTCTTATAGCCACCGAGATGTGACAGATCGTCAGGACTCTCCACTGACAGCTTGTTGCTGAGGTAAAGAAAAAACAGAGCCATCAACACCATGAAGGCTGCAATGGAAGACAGGACACCCAGAAGCTCAGGAGAGACTGAGGAGCAGAAGAACAGGAATACAGAGGGAGGGAGAAAGAGAGAGAGAGAGAGAGAGAGAGAGATGGGGGAGGAAAAGGAAAGACAGACAGAAAAAGAGAAAACCAAAAATTAGACACAAACATTTACTGATTATGGAGGTGTGAGGTAACAGTTACATTTACACAAAAAGGCTATAAATACAGCACACAACAAACACAGAGGGCTGCAAGCTAAAATATGATGCACACAATGCTTTTAAAGCTGTAAACAACCGCACTTTGATACCACAAATAACTCCATTTGATGATTCGCATCTTATTTTGGAATCAAACTCCTCCACTGTTGCCTTGTCAGGGAAACGTTGTGCTTTTTTAACAGTCAGTGGTTGTTCCACTTCAAAGGCACACCAGATACAATCTACAGCAGTGTATGTAGGCCAACCATACTTCATGTAACCATGCAGCGCTGCTGATGTGCTATTTTTATGAGAGCCTCAAAGGGGCTGTATCTAACTGAAACGTAGGCTCAGTAAACCAGCCGAACCGCGCTGGGCCTGCCTTTAATAGGCTACGACGCAGACACACCGCAGTGTAATAGCTGAAGAAAAAGGGGAAGTTCGTGGACAATGAGGCATGAATGGTATTTCCAAAGACCAAATGCCTCGGTGGAAAGGGCAGCTTGAGATGAAGCTCACTGCAGGCGAGGCTGTGTGATGTGCGGTGTCTGGATTTTAAATTTGAGCACCACATCGTACAGTTTTTTGATCCCACAATTATATGGACGTATTCAGCAGTGAATCCCTCAGAGTTGTATTAGAAACACCAATCTTGACGGGTTTGCACACCCACACAAGTGCTTTAAAATTGACTGTTCTTTAAACCCCTCCCCTGAGCAGCGATTGTCGAACGTAGCTTAGCAACTGTAGAAGAACCGTGGGTTTCTCCGCAGGTTGAGATGGTGAGTGTGGTGCTGTAGGGCAAAACTTTGGAGGTTGGCTGGAGCCTACCCCAGCTGACATTGGGTGAGAGGCAGGGCACACCCTGGACAGGTCACCAGACTATCGCAGGGCTGACACATAGAGACAGACAACCATTCACACTCACATTCATACCTACGGACAATTTAGAGTCACCAGTTAACCTGCATGTCTTTGGACTGTGGGAGGAAGCCGGAGTACCCAGAGAAAACCCACGCTGACACAAGGAGAACATGCAAACTCCACACAGAAGGGCTTCCCAACACTTTGTGCATGATAAAGTCGTATACAGAAAAGTTGAATAATTGCACAGAATATTCCAGCAGTTGAATTATTGCACCTAATAGATAATTATGAATTATAAATGCAGAAGGTGAATCAAGTCCAGAAAAGGCTTGGTTCTCGACTAGCACTGTGTTGTATTCTCTCACTGTGTCCTGGATGCTATCGGAGTTTCGGTTTGCCCTATATTGTGTTTGGGAAAGTTTATATTACAGCAGCTCAAGCCAACATCAGTCTTCATCCTTAAGGACTTTCTACTTTTAACATATATAGTTTTGTCACTATATGATCAGGTACAATGAAACTTTGTTTGGCTACTAACTGAACAAAACATCCAGATAAAGACAAAACTCCGACTGAAAGAAGCACCAGAATAAATAAACCAGCAGCAGCAGGATAAATACAATAAAATAAAAGTGGGACTAGAATAAATAAAAGCAGCATCAGGATTTAACAGTGGTGTAAAAAGTGACATTATTAGTCCTGTTTGTGTGGAATGTTGTGTTGGTTACAGTCCCTATAATGTGCCAAGAGGGGTATGACTAATGGAGGCCACAGCCCTGCAGTAAAAGGTGTTTCTCAATCTTATTGTCCTGAACCACTTGCTGGACAGCAGTGGTTCAAACAGGAAGTGGCCAGGGCGTGTGCTGTCTTTGAATATGTGGTTTGCTTTCGATGGTGTCCTCTGTTTTACAACTTAAAGGGTCATTTCAACCCAAAATCCAAAAATACATATTTTTACTCAAACCTGTAGTGCTATTTATCGACCTGGATTGTTTCGGGCTGAGTTGCTGAGTGTTGGAGAAGTCTGCCTTCTCTCAAATATAATTGAACTAAATGGCACTCGCCTTGTGGTGCTCAAAGCGCCAAAAAACAAAAAACTTGAAAAACTCTTTCCAGAAATCATGACCTGGTTACTCAAGGTAATCCACAGATCTTATTGTGAGCAGTTTCATGGAGGAACTATTTTCTTTCTACTGAGATACATTCGCCAAACTCAGCAACGTAAATGGCTATTTTATTTGTTATTTATAATTGCATTTTTGTTTGTGTCTGACATATTTGGTGTTACATATTTCATGTTGTCAGTCTGTAACACTCTTGACTTTTAATCTGAACGTGGCGTTCATTGTTAAATGAGTAAACAACTAGTGCTGAATCAATTACTTAATTAATCAATTAGTTGAGTCTAAGCATAAAAGGGGGAGAAAGAGGGGATGACATGCAGCAAAGGACTGCAGACTGGAATTGAACCATATATAGGACACCTGCTCTACCCACTTGTCACCCTGATTGACAGAAAACAACTATTTTGATAATCTATTATTCCTTTTTAGTCTTTTTTTTTCCCAAGGAAAAATACCAAATATTCCCAAGTTGCAGCTTCTCAGTTGTGAGGATTTACAGTCTTTCGTTGTCTGATAGAAAATTGATAATAATGTGTTTTAGGCTGTTAATGAAAGCTATTCGAAGACGTCAACTTGAGTTAAGGAACTTGTATGTCCTGACATTTTATAGGTACAGTTGATCAGCTGATAAAATAAACATTAGTTGCAGCCCTGTTATAAAAAGACATAAAACGATGGTGCATTTCAGGTGGATGCGTCTGCTGAAGCAGCCCACATGTTGCAGCATGTGTTTTGCAGCAGTCACTGAATAAATTGGTCAGCAGTGTAAAACCCACCCTGAGAGCACTAACATGAGAGACGCAGAGAAAAACACAGGCACAGTCTCTCAACCCTCCTGACTACAGACTGAACTTACGGACGTACTTGTTTCACCATGGCAACAGGCAGAGACCACTGCAGCCTGACAACTGGCGCTGCTGCAGACTGCCAAAGTGATGAATACTAAACTCCCAAGAATGGCAAGAGAAGTCGGAGAGAGAGATAAGAGAGGCGATGTGGCGGCAGAGGCTTACCTTCTCCAAATGAATATCCTCTTTAACGCCAGCTGTTCCCAAAAAGCACTATCAGTACTCACTGCTGCTATAGATAGCAAGTGATCTAAGACGAGGGGGGAAAAACAAAGTTGTCCTGCTCTGGAGTAATCCGACATGTAATAAATCCCTTACACTTAGTCCGGGCCAGCACTTGACAGGCTTACGTATCAACTCTCACTGCAGACACTTGTGTTGATTGTGCCAGAATGACCTCCGCAGCCATCGGGCACTGTCGAAATGAACAGCTTATGGCTGTGCTCCCGGGGCATGAGGACACTTCATACATGGCCCTGCTCTGTAAATGTCAACGACAGCTGAATAATTTAGACACCTGAGGTAACCTGATGGCTCCGTCAATGCATACTGGAAAGTGGAGAGGTAGCGAGCCGGCCTTTGAGACAGCTCTTTTATATAATACCCATCACTCTCAGGAAAGCCTGATATTTCTCCTAACAGCAGAGCAGATTAAAGTTCCGTTTTCAGCCACTTCCCTCTCCCCTTGTCTGCCCTTCTATCACCCTATCCCATCCTCATTGAGTGTGTGCATGTACAAATTGTGTGTCTCGACTGAATAAACAAGAAAACATAAGCAAATAAATCTGTTTTTTACTGCGTGTGAACTCAGGCTGAACTCATGACTCTGAACTGAGCCTCAGGATTCAATCTGCCTCTTTTTTTTTCCAGGTAATGACTCTGGCACGCTGACTAACAAACATGAGAACGCAGCCACTGAGCCATTCAATGAGCAAACAGCGAATGAATAATAACCTCAGAGAAACGTGAGCCCATTTAGACGAAAGGGGAAACAAATTATTTTGTCATGTTATGTCAAATATCCTCATTGGGAACATTAATTCATTCATGTAACAACTTATCCCACTTCTAAGCTTTTACACCAGCGCACACACTCAACTTGGTTGTAGTTTGTAGGGCAGGCTTGTTTAAAAAGTAGGTAGGCAATCTGGAAATGTTGCTTACACATGGACTTCTGATACGAAACAAAACCTCCACGCTGCTGAATAAATCATGAACACACAGCTGCCTTCTTTTGCTGAAGTGAACCAAAACTTGATATGCCATGCATAATTCACTCACAGACATTATGCTTTCTGAAGTCTATATGGAGGCACTTTCCATACACAAAACTTCAGTGAGAAATTCACACGAATAAAGGCAGTTTGAGAGCTGCATTTGGATGTGGCGATCTTTGTGCTTTTAAAGTGATGTTGTGGAATTCAGCCAAGCACGAATTATGCTCAGGATGAAAACAAACACACACACACACACACACACACACACAAAAAAAAAAAAAAATACCATTATGCTAATGCAGATACACAAGTGCAGTGCTCGGCTGTACCGTGGCCTTACCTCGTCTGGCACAGATGAGCTCATGAACACCACAGTTCCTCCCCCCTCCTGGAGGAGAGACAGAGAGAAATGAAGTCAAAGGTTAGAAATATTATTCCACGTACTGTAGAAACATATGTTCAGGCCTCAGGTTAGGGAAGCTGGTAGATGATTATGACAACAAATATAAAACTAATTATCTGAACCACCGGAGAAAAAAAACCTCACAATCAAATTACTAGCCTAATTATGAACATCAAGTTAGCATAACTGTGCCATCAAAAGGAGGTGCGGAAAAAATGACTGTAGAATCTATTTGTGAATGCATGTTAAAGGGGGGTATGGCTAAAAAAAAAAGCTCAACATTTTTTAGCCACTTTCTTGCTGAGAGTTAGCTGAGAAGATGGACAACTCTCTCATATCTGTCTGTTATAAATAGACCTGGAGCCAGTT